CGACTCTCTCCCGATCTTTATATATATATATATATATATATATATATATATATATATGAAGAGTGATTCATTTATTTTATAAATAAGTGTACTTAAATTTACTTTGTTCAATAACTTATGTTCTATATCAAATTTCAACAATTCAACCGCTGAATTTAAAATTCTTAATGTATAGATTCAATTTGCAAATTTTTAAAAAAATTTAAAAAACATTTGATACTTTGTTTCATTAATTCAAATCAATGTATAAAATGATTTTATGATTATCTCAATTTAAATTAATGAAATAAAGTATCAAATGATTTTCAAAATTTTAAAAAATTTGTATACTTGATTTATGCATTAAAAACTTTAAATTCAATGGTTAGATAGTTAGAATTTGATGTAAAACATGAGTTATTAAATGGAATAAGTCTGGAAATAAACCGATCCTTCCTCTTTCTCTCTCTCTGTATATATAACTTGAGTCACCAGAGTTGATCTAGAAATAAGAGTTAGAATAGTATATACAAATAACCCAGCAAGCATAAGTTATCAGCAACCGATGCTGTCACTGAATGTGGTGCTTGAGCGGTTAGATCTCATTCTATATATTGAAGTTGATTACACCAGCGAGATTGAGTTTCCTCCAAACATCTATAACAGTAGGACAATCCTGGAATATATGGTGAAGGGACTCCTCAAGAGTTCCACACTTCCAGCAATAGCAAACGACTACATGCTACTTAACGTAGAAAATGTTAGTGGACAAGTTTCCATGGAAGGCAATTCATACAAATGTTTTGATATTTTCTGGTAACAAGATCTTCTAAATGCACGGCCAACTTCTCATTAAGGAAGAATGATTGACAAGCTAGCTATTGAAAAGTAGACTTGGTAGTGTAACATCCTGTACTAAAGGGTCTCCAAATAATTTTATCCTCAGTTTAACAAATTCTTTTCCAATACATATAACAGAGTATTAAATCACGTGGTAACATATTTAAGATAATCAACTATTATCATTCACCCTAGTGAATAATAAACTCTATAAAATATCTACGAATTGCAAGGGTATAAAAACTGCTATATTTTACTTCAATGGTTTGTGGCCAAACTCTATTTGTAATTTCACGTACTCTTAAGATTGAGGAACACTTCTGGATAATCAAATTAATTTGTCTATCACATGTTCAACCCTCAAAGGTTTACATACAGAACAATTAAGATAAGCAGAGATACTAAAGTTATGGATAAACTATAGCCGAATGGTTAAACACGAATAAAAAACCAGAAATAGAACATAGATGAAATATGTTAGATAACATAAACAAAAGTAGTAACAGAACCAATAAAAACCAAAGATGGGTGTGCAACAAGCCAACAACCAATCAAAAACGAAAATATATGGCAGAAACCACAGTGACAGAATATCAGGTTGCATTTTGTTATACTTAGCAAATAATTAAGATGCATCTCTAAATCATTTCTGGTAAACCAGAGAAGATTGCTTTGCAATTTTTGGCTGATATAGTTAAGAAGCATCTGAATTATTTACAGTATACAAGTAAAAGGATCATATCTCAGCAAGTTACAATTATTTTCTCACTGTTTATATGTTATTCATGAAAATTTTCACCGACAGATAATACAGACCTGTATATATTAGATATGCGAAAACCCTCTATCTAACAATTCGTAAAACCTTTTGATCCGCTTCAAACCAAACGATAGAATTAATCAGAAGATCATAAAATTAGTACTGATTATGGTGAGCTGAACGAGTTTTCCTTTATGCAAGGTACTATTGGATTTTTTTGTTGTCAAATTTTCATTCTGTGTTTTCTAAGATTGGATAAAGAAAATTGAAGACAATAATAGGCAATAGCTCTTTTATACGGTTGTGTTCTATAGTTCTATATCAATTTGTTGTAGTCTTGTAGAGTTATGGAGTCGACTTTAGACACAAGTGAAAGAGAAAGAATAATAGACTCAAAACAAGAATTCCTTTACTGCTTTCAAATTTATACGAATTCAAGAAAATTACAAAGACAGCTTGATCGAATCAAAATGCTAAAAGCGAGAATTAGTACAAAAATATGCAGACTCAAAAAGGTAAAAACCCTTGGTTTGAGCTCACCAAATTTTTTATGAATGGCTCACTTTCTAAGCTACCCCAACTATTGGTAGAATCTATCATCCCAGGGAATAATGGTGGTAGAAATTAAGGTATAAGGACCGTTGGTGTTTGCGATATCTTGTTGTTCTTGTAACGACAAAGCACGCTCAAGTTCCACCTCTACTTCACCCATTGT